AAAAGTACAGTAAGTTTCCCTTATTTTTTCTTTATATACCCTATTTAATGTAATTTGTTTAGATTTTGGTTCAAGTTTTGTAATTTTACTTTATTTCGTAAATTGTTTTGAAGTTTTGCAATGAAAGTTGGGCATAATTCGGTCATTGCTCTTCAGTCCAGGAAAGTTCATCTTTCATCGTTAAATACTGTCCTAAATTAGTGCAATGAAAATGTATGTATTCATAAATTTCTCCAAGCAACTTGAGACCAAAGTGGTAGGTTGCAGTTACACTCTGCTAAGCCTAAACCTTTTGTTTTTTTATAAACAAACCTCAGGAATTACTCCCATTTGCCGGTTTGAAATGCATTGCGTCTACTCGTACGTTTGACTTGTTATGCCGCTTTTAATTAGGAACGTATCATATACCGGTAGGCGTTAGAGTTTTAACGCACACTTTTGTAACCAACCAAAAAAGACACATGTTTTAAACAAACAAACTGGTTTTCACATTACAGCAGTTAACAGTAAATGGTAATATCAAAACAGTTAACTTACAGCATTGTGGAGAAAACAATCCGCTTGGACTGTAATAAAATGAAGCCAGTCAAGAAATTTTAAAGTTAAATGCTAATTGTGGCGTAAAACGAAAAAGAGTATAAACCATGTCTATATTTGTCTATAACACAACACGACAAGGCAAACTCACCTCATGTTGTATCTTTGCTTAATTTAAAATTTACATAATTATTATTGGAAGAAAAGCAATGTTGATAAATGTCGGTATTGAAAAAATTAATACTGCCTGAAAAAGTTTTATTACATTCAAGTCTGACATATACCATTTATAGTATTACTATAATACCGCATGAGTGGAAAGGCTTCTCACTTGTCTATATGTGGCAATATCTCTCTGGTAGAGCTAGGAATAGGAGGAACTATACAACATCTTTGATTATCGTTTCTATTTTCGTTGATGGCTTTTAAGCTTCCAATATTAAAATCCTCCCAAGTAAGGACAATTATCAATTTACCTTCCTTCAAACTTGAAGAGGTTAAAGAGAAAGATTTTATTGGGCGTGGTTCTTATGGGACAGTTTTCTCTGGAAAATTTAGTGATGAAACAGAGGTGATCAAACAACTTAAGAGAGATAGATAGATAGATAGATAGATAGATAGATAGATAGATAGATAGATAGATAGATAGATAGATAGATAGATAGATAGATAGATAGATAGATAGATAGATAGATAGATAGATAGATAGATATATCTGTTATAACCATGAAGGCTAATCAAGACAGGTGGATATTAATATATTACAATCTTTCATTATTTAATTAGAGAGTGATTCAATAAAAATTAAAAAGATTAGAGAACAAAGTTACAAAACACACAACTCTGGCAAAACAACACAAACAGAATAAAACAAAAAACAGTACAATACGAAACAAAACAGGGGAGGGATGGCTCTTACACGTAGTAATAACACGAATATCTAGACTAGCTAGTAGTGATCAATTAACTGTTGTTTTAGTTTTTTTTTAAAAGCAGATTCACTCAGATATTTAATTGACTCATCAGTATCATTCCAGGTCTTAGGGCCGATAAATCGTATATTAAATTTTCCATAGTTAGTGCGAGGTTGGGAAAAAGAAAAGGATGATTTTGCAGAAAGCCTTGTATTATAATTATGCTTGGAACTAACTGGTGAAAAAAGTTCATAAATGCAAATGGAAGTTTATTGTTATTAAATTTATGCATAAATAATGTTGTATTAAGTAAGACAATATCAGGAAATTTTAAGAGTTTGAGTCTCTTAAACATAGGTGAAGTGTGTGCCCAATAATGGGAAAATGTTATTATACGTATTGCTTTCTTTTGTAGGGTCACTATTGGCTGAATATTTGTCTTGTACGTATTTCCCCATATTACTACACCATATGAAATAAATGGGAAGATAATGGAATAATATAATTGCACTAAAATATTAGTAGGAACAAAATGGCGCAGTTTAAGCAGAACTCCAACACTTCTCGAAACCTTTTTTGATAATTCATACACATGTTCCTTCCAGTTAAGATGGCTATCAATAATAATTCCCAGATATTTAATATTAGATTTTTGTAAAATAGATGTATTATTTATTTTAAGATCTATGGGGTAGTTTATTCTTTTTTGTGGTGTGTGAAATAATACAAAATTTGACTTTTCAACATTAAGTGATAATTTATTTGCGCATAACCATTCATTTATATTTTCCAGCTCATGATTAAGTTTAGTTTCTAGTCTTTCCAGGTTACTTTTCGAACAGAATATATTTGCATCGTCAGCAAAAAGATGAAAATCTAAATCAGGTGCACAATTATTGAAATCATTTAGATAAAGAAGAAATAATAGTGGACCCAAGACTGATCCCTGTGGTACTCCACATGAAATGTGTACTAACTCAGATGATATATTCTCGATAGTAACAAACTGAAATCTATTATTTAAGTAAGAAACAAACCAGTCCTTAGCAATAGCCCTTATTCCGTAGAATTCAAGTTTCCTTATTAGAATTGAATGATTTACAGTATCAAATGCTTTTCTCAAATCCAAAAACAAGCCACAAGAATATAACTTTTTTTCTATAGCAGTCTGGATTTTGTCGACAGTCAAAAGAATAGCGTGTGTAGTAGAATGATTAGATCGAAATCCAAACTGACCTTTAAAGAAAACATTATTTGAATCCAAAAAAACTACAAGTCTCTTGTGCATTAGATAAGAAAGTAGTGATATTGTAGTGTATTAAATACAGAAAGTAGTGATATTGGACGATAATTAGAGACAAGAGTTTTGGGACCTTTTTTGTGGACAGGTATTACCCTTGCAATTTTTAGTTGATCAGGTACAACTCCCATCGAGAAAGACACATTGAAAAGATATGTCAATGGTTGCGCCAATATATGTTTTAGAATTATCAAAAGATTGACAGGTATGCTATATGGACCAGCAGACTTTGATGGATTTAGTCTAGAGATTTCTTCGATGATTTCAGTAGCTGTCACTGAGAAAATAACAAAGCTATTACACAAGGAATGAGTCATGTATCTCTCAATAGGTGTATTAGCAAAAGGTATTGTAGATTCCAAGTTTGATCCTATAGTTGAAAAATACTTGTTGAAGGCCTCGGCAATAGCTTTCTTATCAACTATTTTTGAAGATCCTACTTGTAATAAGTTGGGACTCGTATTATTAGCATATTTTAAAGTAATCAATTGCTTAATACCTTTCCATACCCTTTTCATGTTATCCTTATTTCTCAAAAAATAGCAACTATAATAAGACTTTTTACTAATATTCAAAAGATGCTTTAGTTTATTTCTATAGAATTTAAACTTAGTTAAATGATATTCATTTCTCGATTTTAAATAGGATTTATAAAGCTTATTTTTCATGGCAATGGAAATTTTTAGACCATTAGTTATCCAGGGGTTAGTCTCAAATCTCATCTCTCGTTTAGATAATCTTTTCAAAGGAACATGACTATCAATAACTTCAGATATTTTCCTGTGAAAAGCACTGAATAGATCATTTATATCAGATTCAGCAGGAAAAACCTCTTCCCATCTAATTGACTGAGCGTCGGCTATAAATTCATCTAAGTTAAAATTTGAATAATTCCTTTTTTTATTGCCAGTTTTTAATTTGTCAATAATTAAAAAGTTTGGGAGGTGGTCGGTTATATCATACACCAGGTTTCCGCTAATTGTTTGGTGATCAAGTGAGTTGAAATAGATGTTATCTATTAGCGTAGCAGAGTGATCGGTTATTCTTGTGGGTTTGATTATATATGGCTGGAAACAGTATGTAGCCATAGTATTCACAAATTCGTCTGTGTCGGTATGATTATCAACATTTAGCAAATTCAGGTTGAAATCACCCATTGAACAACACAATTTACCTTCCCTTGAGATTTTATCAATAACATCCATGTAATAGCTAGTAAATGCATCAAGATTGCCGTGAGGGTGACGATAAATTATAGAACAAACTATATTGCGAGAGCTGTTGTGTATCTCCAACCACATGCATTCATAATCAATAGTTGAAGAATTAAGATCATCTCGAGAGTGATATTCAACATCCTCCCTTATATAAGCACACACTCCACCAGCATTGCTTAGTGTAGGCTGAGAAATAAGATGATAGCCAGGAATGGCTAGGTTGATTAAAGGTTCTCTGTTTACATTAATTTTCGTTTCAGATAATCCTATAATGCTAAATTTAAAATCCAGATTAGCCAGTAAAGTGACTAGATTATCATGATTAGCAGAAATACTCCTTATATTACAATGAAAAACTGAAAATAAGTTTGTAGAACTTTTAGACTGGTTAATGGACTGGCAACTTTTGAATTGTAAAGGGCTATAGTAATCAAAATTTACATCTGTTAAAAGATTAATTTCTCCATCAGTCTGAAAATGATTTGGTATATTTTTTAGTCTTGAGATTAATTCGTATCTGGGTAAGGCCTCCAGGTCATCTATATTGGCATTAAACATTTGGAATCATAAACCTAAGATATAGTAACAGGGAAAATAAATACCCTATAGCTGTTAACATCAATATAACGGAAAGACTGACATGAAGACAAAACATATGCATACAATAATATACAAAAGAGACTACACATAGCCACACTAATGAAGTAAAGCGAATAATTGAAGATAAAAACATCCAAAGGACAAAACATATGCATACAATAATATACAAAAGACTACACATAGCCACATTAATGAAGTAAAGCGAATAATAAGATAAAAACATCCAAAATAAACAAATGAATGGGCAGAAGAATTGCCCCAACCATGTCAAAGAATGGTAGAAACAAAAGCGTGACAGATAAATAGGCGACAGGTCAGCATTGGTTATAACAGGTAGACTGTCCCTAATTAGCATGAGATAATAACATGACATAGTTTTTTATACTGTATAAGTCTCTAACAAAATTATAATACTTATAGTATATATCGTACTTATCTTGATGGAATTAGATTTTCCAAATCATGTCGCGTAGCAATTAGCCTTGCTGGTGTATCATTGTTTTTACGCAAATAGATTCGTCCTTGCTGAGTCCAGATGAACTTAAAGGCATTATCGCGTCTAAACTGCAAGCAAGCTTTGAATAGCTCATTGTTTCTTGGACTAAGGCTTTCGGATACATAAATATTATTTTCAGATAGTCTTGCCAGTTTAAGGTCTTTCGTAGTTTTATTCTTCAAGTTCTTACGGCCTTTATAGAATTGCTCTTTCTTCTCGCGTCGTACGAATTTCACAATTACTTTTGGTATATTCAATGCAGGGCTTCTTGCTCGATTTGAGTCTAAATTATTAGATATCGGCAGCCGATGTGAGACAGATATATCACTCTCATCTATATGTACCCCCATAAGATTGGCGACTCTGATAACAAGTTGATTAGTATCTTCGTGAGGTTCAACTGGAAGGCCCGAGATTTCACTACAGTCGCGTCGGCCATATTGATTCATAGCATCAACATTTTTAGCGAGATCGTCACCAACCTTAGAAAGCTTCAAAATTTCTGCCTTTAGAAATTTATTTTCTTGCTGTACCAAATTGTATTTCGATTCTAATTCATCAACCCGGTTATTAACTGAGTCATATTTATCGCTCAGAAATTGCATGCTGTCCTTAAGATCGTTGACTGTTTGGACTATTGGACTGAGCTTTTCATCAAGCTTTTTCTCCAAAATTTCTTCAAGGATTTCCTTAGTGATTTGAGTCATGATAACATACACAGATTTTGAAGTTATAAAGATATAAACACGAAAAAAAAAAAATCGTACACAATAAGACAAAAATATTAATATTTCAAGGCGAGCATTAAACACGACCGCCATCTTGTACACACTCTTCACTTTGAGAGAGTCAAAAGACGAAGAAAAGTGCTTCTTAAAAGAGGCAAAACTGTTAAACGCTATGAAACACAAGAATATCGTCCTCTTTAAAGGTTTTTGTAATTCGCCATATGCCATTATGATTTTTCCCCATTTGATGTTTCCAAATGAGTTAACAAATTGATTGATTTCATCAACTACATGGATAAAATTAATGGTTTCCAAACTTTCCAAGATAGTTTAATGCTTCAGATTGGCCATCAAATTTCATCAGGTTTGGCATATTTGCACAATAATAAGATCACACATGGCAATCTCAAAGTTGTCAAACGTCTTGGTAAGTGACTTGCATTATTATTGCTACCTAACGAATGAGGAAGAAAGGATAAATATCTTCCAGAGCAAACCAATTGTTTGCAAGTTGGCTGATTTCAGAGAAAGCAGATCAAGACAAATTCAAACAGCCATTGCTCATGCAATGACGAACAACAGAATTGATAGGTAAATCAATTTTATATGAATTATAGTTGCGTTGCGTTGGTCGCGGTTAGGTTGCGGTTCGGTTGCAGTCAATTTAATCAACAACAACAACAACAACAAGAAATTTATTTAGCACCATCACATTGTACAAAATATATAAATGCACTGTAAATGCACTGTACAAATATAGAATTTACCATATTGTACAGGTTGTCTAAAATAACTATTGTTAATCGAGTCAGACAACCTCTGAAATATTTGAGACATTGTAAGGTCGTAGAAATAGAAAATAAATCGAAAGTGCTAATCATTATAAGATATAATGTATATTATGTACCCCATTAATTTTTATAGCAGTTTATTATTTTATTACATATAATTTTCTTAAATTTGGACTTAGAAGAAGTTCTTAACTCTACATTTAAATCATTCCACATTTTTGGACCTTGAAATCTTAATGAAAATTTTCCATATTTAGTTCTGACTGATGGTAACAATATGACGGTTTGGAAATTAATTGAGTATTATAGTTATGTCTCACATTAACAAGTAAGAAAAAATCTTTAAATGGAGAAGGTAGTTTATTCTTGTGCTATTTCATACATAAATAACAAATAGTGCAGCACTACCAAATCTAAAAGTTTCAATAATCCATGTCTTTTAAATAAGGGCTCAGTATGTTCATCAAACTTTGAAAAAGTTATAATACGAAGGATTTTTTTTTGAAACAAAATCAAAGGCTTCAATGTAGATATATATGTATTACCCCAGACAATTATCCCAGAAGTAATGAAGGGATAAACTAATGAATAGTACAACTGTATGAGTAGTTGACGTGGCACGTAGTGTCGTAATTTCAATAACATCCCAATACTTCTATTAATTTTTTTAGCCATGTATTGTATTTGTGTTTTCCAATTTAAATGTGAATCAATATAAATTCCTAGATACTTTGTGGAATTCTCCTGTTTCACAGACAAGTTATCTATAAATAATTTAAACATATAATCTATCCTTTTTTGAGCACTATGGAAAATGACAAAATTTGTTTTATCTATATTTAAGAACAGTTTATTTGCACCAACAATTAATAGACCTTACGCAGCTCAATATTCACTTGTTGTTCAAGGACATGTCTATTATCATGTGAATAAAGCAGATTAGTGTAATCTGCAAATAAATGAAACTCAAGTAATTCAGAGCAATTTTGAAAGTCATTGATATACAGAAGAAAAAGTAAAGGTCCTAACACACTTCCTTGGGGTACCCCACAGGTGATACATTATTCATTTGACTTTATATTACTAATTGACACATATTGCTTTCTATTATGTAAATACGATTCAAACCATTTATTGACTATACCACGAATACCATAACATTCTAGTTTTTTAAGCAGAATTCCATGATTTACTGTATCAAAAGCTTTACTTAAATCCAGGAAGATTCCACAAGAGTACTTTTTATTCTCAATTGCCTTTTGAATTTTATCTATTATTAGAAGAATTGCTTGAGTAGTAGAATGATTTGACCTAAATCCAAATTGATTATTAAATATAATGTTCTTGTCTTCAATATAACTGATCAACTTTTCTAATATTCTGTTAAATACTGATGATAAAGCGATGGGGCAATAATTGTTCACACAACTACAAAAAGCCTGTTTTGAAATTTGGAACAATGTTAGCTAATTTAAATTTATCAGGCACGATTCCAGTTGCAAATGAGCAATTATATAATATTTCTAGAGGCCTACTTAAATTAACATGCAATAATTTTAACAAATTGGATGGTATACTATATGGCCCAGTTGATTTACAAGTATTCAGTTTACATATCTCAATTTGTATCTCCTCCCTAGACACAGGTAAAAGAAAAAAGCTATCCGAGTATACAGTATCCATATAATCGAGAGGCTATTTAGCAACTACTTCAATCCGATTACCTACAATTCATTCCAATAGATGCAAAATATTTATTAAATTTATTTGCTATTTCATTTGGATCTCGTATCTCTGAATTATCCTCTTTCAAAATTATTGGGATGCCTTGTGTACCTTTTTTGTTCAAATTAATAATTTCTTTTATTCCGCACCAAATCCTCTTTATGTTGGAGGAATTTTGAATAAAGAAGTTTTGATAGTAGTTTCTTTTGCTTATTTTCAATAGAATAGTGAGTTTATTTCGATAAGCTTTGTACTTAAATTGATTATATGGGGTATTGTTTGTCATGAATTTTTTGAAAAGTTTATTCTTCTTTCTAATAGAGATCATTAAACCTGAAGTAATCCAAGGCTTAAGATTAAACTTAGCTTCCCTATTAGATAGCTTTTTTAGGGATGCATGATCGTCAATCACTTTAGTAACTTATTGTAAATGTGATTAAATATAACATTGGCATTATTACAATTTAGGAGTTGGTCATCCCAATTAATTGTCTCTATCTCATAATTCTATTTTAATTAATTTTTGTATATTCTTGCCTATATATCTCAGTTTTATTTTTAGTTATACATCTTTTTTTAATAATTAAAAAGTTTGGCAAATGGTCAGATATGTCAGTTACAATATTACCACTCGAAGTGTCATATTCAATAGAATTACAGAATATATTATCTATTAGAGTTGCAGTGTGGTCTGTTATTCTAGTAGGTTGATGTATTTGTGGAGTCATAAAGTAGGTATATAAAGTATTGATGAATTCTTCAGTTTGTTGGTGAATGTCATAATTTAGGAGATTAATATTAAAATCTCCTAGCATGATACACAGTTTGTTGGGGTTTTGAATTTTATCTAATGCAGTGTATAAATAATTAGTAAGATTTTCAAAATTTGCCTTAGGATGCCTATATATGACAACACATAAAATCTTTTGGCCTTGATTTTCAACTTCGATCCACAATGTCTCAAATTTATTATCAGAGATACTTAAATCATGCCTTATTGAAAATTGAAGGTCATTTCTCACATAGAATCCCACACCTCCTGCATTAGAGAGTGAAGGCTGAGATATGAATTGATTTTAGGGTCTTCCCCGAGTCTAATTTTGGTTTCAGATAAAGCGATTAATGAGAATGAGCATCTCAATTCACTCAACATAATCAATAATTTATCATGGTTAGCAGCTAGGCTTCTTATATTACAGTGCAAAGTACATAAGGAATTATTTTTACACGTATTTTTAATATCCTGGTCATTACAGAAATCATCATTACTGTAATACTTAAAATTCACATCGTTAGGTATCTGTCCATCAATATCTACATCCCTAAGACATGGGATTTTTGCTAGGGAAGATACCACATCAAAACAAGGAAGATCATACATGTTAGAATCAGACATTTCAATTTATATAGGTATACATACCAATTATATAAATATTAATTAGTATTATCAGATTATTCAATGAATACTTATCTGTAAGTAGCATGACCTTTAAAGTCTTTCCAATTGTTGTGGATGTGATTTTTCAATTGCAGGACTATTTTCATCTTTTCGCAACAAAATTTTCCCATGTTTAGTCCAGCAATAACGATATCCCTTATCTCGCTTTACTTGTAAAGAAGCCTTGAATAAGTCTTTTTTACATTTCGTCAAACTTTCCACACTAAATAGTTTAAAAGGAGTTGATCTGATATATCCCAAATCTTTAGATGTGACATCTTTCAAATTAAATCTAGCATGATACAACGTATCACGAACATCTCTTCTAGTGAACTTTACTATAATTGCCAAATTTACATTGCTCCGTTTTGTTGGTGCCTACCTTGGTTGATATGTCTTCTTTATGTCTTCTTCCGGGAACTTCTGGAATTCCCCTAACTTCTAAACACTCGCGTCGTCGGTATTGCTTGAGATTGTCTTGTGACTCCTTCATATTTTTAACATCACCAGTTGTCCAAAAACTGTTACCCTAAAGAGAGAGTACTACACTCTAAAACACGATAATGATTTTAGGAAGAGGACAGATGTCTTGTATTGTAAGTACAACGCTGGACTGGAGTTTTACTTATCGCTGACTGTATATTCACTATACTGAACAGATATTAAAGTTCTAGTACTTGTACAAATAGATTTCATGTTCTTTCTCTTAGTACTCGGTGGGCAGTTGCATAGGTATTGCATAGTGCAATACTCATTTAAAAGTGGTAAAGAGCACCCAAACCCTCACATGCCTCATGGAAATAGCAAGAAGATGGATCATTTTGTTCGCAACTGTCTAAGCACAGAAGAATATATGGATGATGTTCCAGGAAAGATGAAGCCATGCGAGGCAGTACACCATACAATATCTAATGACCTTGGAGGACTCCAGTCATGCGCTGGTATAGGCCAAGTCTCAAGGAGTAGACAACAAGTTTCCTACATGGCCAGTGTTACGGGATTAGTTATGTGTGTAATGGACAAAA